CAAGCTAAAACAGCAGTTGTCTTACCAGATATTAAACCATTACCAAGCATCATACCTTCATCGAATTCTACAAAAAAACAATCTCTTCGTGAATTTGATGATGATAATGAATTATTAAAAGAATTTGAATCTTGTACATTGACATGTTGGTCTCATGAAATTCATTTACATATAACATGGCTTTATTTAACACGTGATGGTCGTCGGATTAGTGTTAATAAAATATTTGATAATATGAAAAATTTTCTTCAATCTAATCAAATATCACCAATGATTAAATTTCATTTTACGTTGACTTATTTTTGGATTCAAATGGTTGATTTAGCTATTGCACAAAATAATTCAAAAGATCTAAATTTTAAAGAATTTATTGAGAAAAATCCACATCTATTGAATGAAAATTTATTTTTAGATTATTACAAGAAAAAAACAATATTAGATAATCCAATTGCACAAGAACAAATGGTTTTACCTGATATTAAACCTTTACCAACATTAGTTACATCTAATAACAAAAACTAATTCCGTTTCTTCGTTTAATAACAACGATTTTATAAACATATTTTTTCATCAGAAAACACTTTGTCACAATGAAATAACTTTTTTCGATTCGTTCTGTAATAGAATTAAAATGTTTTTTATATTCCCAAATGTTATCACATACTGAGCAAACCATTTTTTCTTAACTTTTTTTACCATTCTACCATGAATATTTCTTGATTTATATTCGAATCTATGTATTTATCGGAACATGTCAATATTTAGATAATCAAGATGGGTGGGTGTGGGTGTGGATGGATATGGATGATTGTGGGTGGGGTGTGGCTGAGGGTGTGGGTGTGTATGTCTTTCCTCTTAGCTAGCACGCACACCCACACCCACACCCTGCAGAGCTTTATATGGATTCATAATGTCTTTTTATACATAAAGTTGATATAATAACATCAAATATCCTTCACAATTTCTTGATTATATGTAAACAACTTCAGCGTTCACGTGAGAACTTGAATTTAATAATTGCTTTCTTCAATGTATAGTTTTGTCATTAAACTGAAGTCTTTTATTATTATTTGCATTGAAAATAATTGTTTCTCTCTTTGAACAAGGACAAATTTTGTACAATACAACAAAATACTTTCTGAGATGAATATTTTTATTTCGCATAAATCTGTGTCATTTTGTCAAGTATTTTTTTATATAAAATATGCGAAAGATTAATGCATTGCAATTATCATTATTGTAAAATACACAAAAACTATTTTTAAAATGTAAAACTCGAATAAATCTCATTGATAGAGATAGTACCTGATCTCATCAAATATTTATTTTTTTAATTGATAAAGTTCTAGTATGAAGATGGGACGTGTTAGTTACATGTTTGACATTTTAAAGTTCGATGTTCTTAAAACAGTTTTTCTATTTGTATTCTCTTCTTTTGGAACGACATAATAAAACTATTTCACAAGTATTCTTCTTATCAAGTTTGCATATCCGGTCACTTCAAGTCTTATAAAAAAATTATTCATTAAATATGAAACTGCGCATTTGTTAATAACAAAAACCTAATTTGAAAGAAAACAATTAATATGATATGATATATTTTATATTTCATGACTTTTTTTTAATATCTCAGAAAAGAAATACATCTCTAGGGAAACAGAAAGCTGAAAAATAGACTTTATCCTGGGAAAAAAATTCTTTTTTTGTTTTCTGTTTTTAATGAACTCTCTAGCGACGTGTATAAAAAGGATGCGATAGTTGAGTTATTTGTTGACAGTTATAAAAAAAACAGGCTATCATCAAACGATAACATTTAACAACAAGAACAGTTTTTTGGTATGTATTAGTTTCTTCTGCAAGGATATCCGTGTTTCATCGTATCCCAGGTAGATAATTATAGTTCTTTTCAAAAACTGAAAAAAAAGAAGATATTATATATATATCAGGAGACTGAGTATTATATTTATTAGTTATTTATCTGATACATACGCACACTCATGCGATCATCTAAACTTAACTGATATAACATTTGTACTATTTACGAAGGTTTTTCTGAATTTTATTCAATTATCATCTGGTATAATCATCTACTAACACATAGTTTGTTTGATATCAATTTCAGCTTATTATTCATCGATCAAATCACGCCTTTTATTGGACATCCTGGCATTAATATTCTCATTGAATAATAAATAGTATGTATATTTACTTTTTTGTTTCTTTTCTATAGAAACATAAATCCATTGAACTTCTCTTTATTAACGAGACATACATCTTGAAAATGTGGGTGTGGACTAAGAGGACTAAGCAGTTAAGGAGACTTGGGGACTGAGGGTGTGGGTGTCGGTCTGGACTTCGGGAACTAAGGATGTCGGTGGGTGTGGGTTTTGGTTGTGGACTAGAAGAGTAAGAGTGTGGGTATGGGTGTCAGTATGTATTTGATTGTGGACCGAGGGCATTAGGGTACTAAGAGGACAGTAGTACCAGACTTGAAAGTTGAATTCAACTATTCCAGTTATCCAACTGTCCAACGACCCAACTATTCAAGCTATTCAATTATTTCAGTTTTTAATTGTTCTACTGTGTACACATAGATGTCCATGGATTGCGGCACTTCGGATGACGCCGTGACGCTGATATTAAAGATGTGTTTTCCGAGAGTATCAGATCCTCGCCTGTACGCGTCAACTAGTGGAAAGTAATATTTCTTTGTTTGTCATTGATTAATAGATGAATAACATTCACAAGAAAATTGTATCTCCGTCGTTTTTACAATAACTGAAACAACTGAATAGTTGAATTCAACTTTCAAGTTTGATGCTAGTGCTTTAGTTTACTTAGTCCACCCCCACACTCTCAAATATATATTTTGATAGAGTGTCGAAAGTCCTATAAAATGCAGTATTTATATTCTTTTCTTTTTACAACACTATAGACAGAAACTTTCCTTTTCGTTACATATATGAGCGAAAACTAATATTTTCTTGTAGAATATTCTTTATAAGTCATCATCGATAATTCACCCACTGGGTAGATCTGATCGATGACTCTCAACTCACATTTGGGTTATATGACACAAATTTTTTTACCAGGATTCTTTCCAAAAATTTCTACGGTCTACCTGAAAAATGAAACCTAAATGAAATACTGCAAGTTGGCGCATTCTTTTCATGCTATAGTCTCTATATGAAGAGCACCATTACATACATGCTTCATTTATTTAATTCTAGATTATCAATCACCATTGGCTACCTACAGTCTGCAACCTACAGTATATAAAATCAATTAACATTTGAAACCCAATTATTAGTCACATTCCGCTTGTTGCCAACCGTTGGGCGAAATAGCTCTGTTCTGACAATGGAGAGTATGTATTTTCTTTTATTTCCTTCATTTTTTCATATAAAAGTCTATACTCACAACGTTTCTGTTTCATACTGCATTTTAACTTTGAGTATCCGTGCGATGTATTTATGTGCTTCCAGAATGACATCCTAATCAACATTAGTCGTATACAGCGGTCACAAATCAATCGAGTTGATTAATCTGACTTATCACGACAATATACCATTTTTCACCGTATATGTGAGACAACGTGCACATAAGAGTTAGCCGAATTTAAAACCAAAATGTACATTAATATTATTATCTGGTAGCTATCTGACTTATTCTATTTTCACATAAAATACGAATATTACATATGCTCTGTATTTTTCAAACAAGATATCATATCCTTAAACATGATAAACATAAGAAATACGCTTATAAACTATTCAATCACTTAGTTTTCAAAGATTTTTATAGAAAACTTTAGAAAAAATCTTTTAAGCATCAGGGGCTCATGACTATTATTTTTATGTCGTATTTTAGTGACCGAAATTCCCAATCCTCCATCCAGCTTATGGCAAAAGACTCGATTTTTCCTTCGAAACTTTAACTTGTTTCCATCAATTCCACCCTCGACCGATGAACATCAACTTCGGAATCAACGGATATCAACAAGCTTATTCATGATTTTATTAACCGTATCGCTGCTCATACTTCTTTTGTATACTTCGTTGGTAGATGTCACAAAAACTGTCAACATTAATGCACCTACTATCACACAATATTCACAATTGTATGCATCATATCCACAAACTTTGACATGTCCATGCACAAAAATATCAATTAGTTATAATAAGTTTCTTTATTTTCAATACACATTTCATCCAGTCTGCAATAGTGTTTTTGTCAGCAACCAGTGGTTTAATTATCTCTCTACATCTCACCGAAATACTGACGTGTACAACAATGATTTTCGAGCAATAGGCACATTTACATTTCAAGCATTGAATGCATTTTGTGAATTAGTCAATCAGACCATATTCAATCGTTTAGCCCAGTTCTATAAAAGTAGTTATATCAGTGCATCGATCATACCTTCACAAATGTTTCATGTACAAACAGAATCCTTGATTTCAGACTTCAGACAAGCAATGACTAGTGAATTTTCCTTATCACTTTCAACAATAAGAAAAACAACTCAAAGTAATGCTTTATTCTCTGCACAACAAACTAATTATTATGCTTATACATTGAGTGGTAATATATATACATATACAGATCCAAATTGGTATGATGGGTGTAATTGTGGAGCTACATCTACATGCAAATCTCAAATTAACATTCGGGATGCTTATAATAATACAATATATATGTATGTGCCAGGTATTTATACTGGATGTTATGTAATTGAGTCATTACTTCAGTCTGATCTTCGATGTTTTTATAATCAGAGTTGTATAGATAAGTTACAATCATATTTAGTACCACTTTCACAAATGAATGTATCAGCACTTGATAGATCATTGTTAGTTCGATTTGTGGAGAATTCAACAACTCAAGAAATGATGGATGAATTAATGATCGAAACGTGGAACTCATCAATAATGTATGAGAGTTATTATAATGAATGTCAACCGTCACAATGTAGTTATACTGTTGAGACAAAGAACGATGCAATATATATTATTACAACATTAATTGGACTAGTTGGTGGTTTGATAACAGTTTTGAAACTGGCTGTGCCAAGAATGGTCAAACTTATTGTGTTTTGCATCCGACGATATAGAATGAGACAGAATGCAGTAATACCGATTGGTTGAAGTTCGTTACTTCGACATTAATACAAGATACTATTAAACTTGAAAAGACAAACAAACAATTAAAAAAACTTAACGATAATCGTTTCTGATTGGGAAAAGTAGACAATCTTTTGATAATTCATTTTCTAACAGGTACTTAGAAAACATATATGCAAGGGGAAAAAATGATCTATGATTTTGTGATTTCAAATGATTTAAATCGGTTGTTTCCCCTCTTGCATATACGTGTGACGTTGTTTTAAGAAAACTAACTTATATTATTGTATCAGTTTGCCAGCGCTTCAATTTTTTTTTCAAATAAAAGACAAGAATGCTTTGCTTATATAATATATATATTTATAATTGATACAGTGTGTCACGGAACACCGCACTTTTGGAACCAAGAGTGTGAGTGTGGGTGTCTCTTATCAATCCAGATTCACGCTTACACCCACACCCTCAAGAACATTCCGAGGAGACCCAAACAGCCTTCAAATATTTATGGTCATTTAAAAATGCTTCAGGCAGACAGACACATGCTTTCTTTACCGTCGTACAAAATATAGACGAGAGTCTAGGGAATCTTTTTAGATTAGTCTGAGGTCATATTTATTCAAAAATAAAACTACTTGTACATAGCCAGTCGTTATGAAATAATCGCCAGTATTGAGCTGTAACATTCCCCACGTCGATCTTTTGTTGTTGTATGCTCACATACGCGATAGTTCCAACCGTCGTCCAGTTTTTATTATCAGAAGAATATTGCAAAGTCCCTCCATTACCGTATTGCGGTCCCCAGTTACTTTTATGTAGTGGTCCAATTATCACACTAGTCACTGGAACACGATATGGAAATGTAGATTGAATCCATCCCCCGCCATTTGTTGCTACTCCTGTTGTATATTGCCCATCTAATAGTGATTCACGCGTATTTTCGACAGGAATCTGTGGCTTTGTGTATGCAGAGAACATAGATAACGCTTAATTCTTCAGATCTGAAAAAAGTACAGAGAAGTTGATTAATTCATAAGAATAATGCAAATGACCAAGACTAACCAACACTTAATGTTGTCATCTCCAAATGAGCAACATTTCCAACTGCATTTCCCTGACATGCACGTAAACGCAATGTATAAGATGTGCTTGGTTCCAAATATTGATGACGATATTTTGTTTCCAAGCCACGATAGACCTAGAAAGTAAATGTAGTTGGCATTCATCATTCTCTTTATCAAGGGTTGGTGTGAGTATTCGTGCCTATAATCACTCAGTCCACACTCACACGCATACCGTTTTGTAGAAAAACTTACCAACTCAGAGTTTCTACTTGTTTATGCTGAAGACTCTTCTAAAAATACTATTCGTTTTTTATTTGTCTGCTTTAAATTTTTACTAATTCAATCCTTATAGAGAACGCTAAATGGTAAACAATTTTCCTAGGGGATAGGAAAAAGATCCTTGAAACATTTTTAAGGAATATTTATGCGTTTCTCTATTCGAAAAACAGTGGTAACATAATGAATCAAGTTAATTTTTACAAAAGATAAAGGAGAACATACTTCGTTGAAATTGGTATGGTTTTGCCCAAGTTCTAATACGTAAGCAGGTATGGGTGGTTTAGATTCAATCGATTCCCATTCAATATCGAAGTCACCACCGCTTGCTTCACACTTATGCTGAATAAATGATGGTGTAGCTATATTTAAAAAATCAATTTTACTTCGAACGTTTACGAGAACAACAAGCTTTACGTGGTTCACAAATGATTCCGCAAGTATCGACCATTTCGAAAATTTTTTGAGCTGAAATGTCAACTGCTGCCGAGTCAATCAGTTGCGTTTGATGATGGTATTCAACGCTTTCAATTTCGAGATTTTTCATCTTTTCGATAATTGCTTTGGACCGAGCTAACGCAGCGAAATCGTCGAGTGTTAATACGCATTGTCCTTCTTCTAAACATTTGTTAAAACTTGTGTTTATGTTTTTGAGATTCTCTTGTCTCAAATAAATATTATCACGATACATCTGAAAAAGTCAATAAATTCTTCAAAATACAGTGAAGTTTATTACCGTACAATACACTTTTCTTGCAACTGTTCTTTCAATATTCTGCGTCTGTCTTGGAAAGCAACTATAAACCGATCAAATTCCTTGTCGATATATTGAGTACTTTCAGTTTCACTAATGTCAATGTCTAATAAAAAATCGTTAAGGACAAAATTTGTATAAACAACTCTTTAATTTTACTTTTCAGTGCTTATTGTAATTGACTCTGTTCATTCATAAATTCCGTTTTGAATTTTTGAATTTTTTCAAGATGTTCGCTTAATATTTCCTTTTCCGTATCTACTACATCAACAATTGATTTAACTTCATCACTATGTTGTTTATGAATATCGACCGATAGACATGCAACACAACAAACATCCTACAAAATAGAATCCGAAAGCATTTAAACTTTCTCAATAAATAATAAATATAATGTGACCTTTGTGTTTATATAAGATATGTATTCGTGGATTTTGCTGAAAATTTTCTTTTCAACTGTAAACTACACTTATTAGCTGTAGTAGATTGTGAATAAAAAGGCAGCGAAGATGTTCTTATTGAGATCCAAAAGACATAAAAACTCATCTCAAGCTAACTAAGCCATCCAAGATAGTCTTTTCTACAATATGGTTGCCATGAAATCTTAATCGATTTCAAATAAAATGTTTGCAACTACATTTGTTGTTTTGTACAACGAAATAGTCTTCCGATTTTTTCTCCATTCAATATATAACTATCATATATGAATGACTTAGTTTTTCAGTTATATAACATATGCTTTATCAGAACGGCAAATAAGTGAATAAAATGAAACAAGACTTTTGTCACATGATTTCGAGGGGCATTTCGATTGTAACATAAACAATTAAGATTCATGATAAATCAATTTATGGTAAATCTGTAAACTTCTTACCTTGCAATATAAACAATATAAACAATATAAACAAAGTGGCATATGATGATTTCGACAATTCATTGGTTTAGCGTTTTTCTTTTTGATTGCGGCCTCTTTTTCGGCAATCCCAATGATGTCATGTGATTTTTGTGACTTAAACGAGTGTATAACAGTATTATGTTGATCACAGAAATTTGCATCATCCTGAACACAATACCATCTGGCATTTGCATCGCATTCACTGCATAATTCTTCTTGTTGTTTCGACGTCATTTAAATGTAAAAAGTATAGAGCAGTCATCCTATTCCGCAATGTTGAACATTTCAGAAACCAGTTCCGCTCCGAAATCGATTCCGTTCAATTCCGGGAACTCGATCGACACATAATATCCGATACCCACTCGAAAATTGATCGAGTTCCGGAATTGGTGGGAATTCCGTATAATTCCGGAATTGGTGGGAATTCCGTCCAATTCCGGAATCGGTAGGAATTCCATGTAATTCCGTAATTAGAAGTAGTTCACGCAATTCCGGAATTGGTGGGAATCGGTAGGAATTCCCAGGAATTCCGTCCAATTCCACTGAATTCCGTCTTGATGCAATTCCCGGAATTCCGCAACGGAATTGGATCGTATTCAAACGTGATAACTTATCAACACAACACAATAAATGTGGGTGAGGTGGATGGTGCGATTCCGGTACGGAATTCCGGAATCGGAACCAATTCCCGCAATTCCGGAATCGGTAGGAATTCCGTGCAATTCCGGAATCGGTCGAACTCGATCAATCTTGACTGGGTGTCTTATGTTGTGTGTCGATCGAGTTCCCGGAATTGGACGGAATCGATTTCGGTGCGGAACTGATTCCTCCAATGTTCAACATCGCGGAATAGGATGCATTCTCAAAGTATAAAGCTTGTGAAAAGAAATACAACAAAATATGTGTGTTATATGATAAGCAAATATGAGCTATACGACGCAACTTTTTCTTTTTCTTCTGTGCACCATAATCTTTGCTTGGAAAGAGCAGTTTTACAAATAAAACAGCACAATCTGTATAGATAAGGAAGAAAAATATTCAATTTATTGAAGGACAATAACTTCAGAATAAATGAAGAGACAATAGCGACGAAGTGGGTATGGTTATGGAAGTAGATATGTATATTGTATCCATCTCGCACCCACACCCTATTTCAACAATGTTGAGAAAAAAACAAATACCAACCAACAAAGTAAACATATATTAAAAACATGAGCAATATCGAACATATAATTATTCTATAAATTATTCATTAGGAGTAATTCTATTATTCCGATATCGTTTAATAATATTAAATATTATTCTAGTTGTAAGTGGAACAACAATATGTAAAGCAACAATTAATCCTCCGTATAAACCTAAAATTTTTGATATAATATAAATAGCATTATCATCTTTTTGAGTTTTATAAGAACGATAAATAGGAGCACATTGATTATAAAATAATGAATAAGAACTATTGATTTTCCATTCTTCAATAAATAATTCATCTGCTATAATTTGAATCATTGTATTTGTTTTTAAAACAACTTACAATTGAAGAATCAATAGCTGATATATTCATTCAATAAGAATATTATATCGGCTTTTTGAAATACAACAATGAAGTCAATAAAACTATTTGGTAAAAAGAGTATGGTTCGAAAAGATTAAGTTGTTCAGTGCCAATATTCACTTATGAACGCTTATTCATATTATCGTCACATTTGAACTTGCTCTCATATACTTGCTTGTAGTTGATAAAAAGGAATAATTAAAACTCTTCACTTCTATACTTATACCCACTCGTCTTGAAGGAAAATTTACATTCAGTTAAACAAAAAACACATATTATTTGGGGAATGATAATTTATTAAGCAATGTGAATGATTAAATAGTTTGATTAAATATAAAGAAAAACTTATGATTCAGTTCACAAAATAAAATGTCATTCTATCTATATCGATTAATAAAGCTCAGCACTATTGAGCATACCAAATCGGTTATGTCCACCAGTAACTAATACTGATCCATTTGCCAATATAGATGCTGTGTGAAATTCTCGTCGGGCAGTCATGTTTGCTGTAGTTATCCAAGTACCTGTTGATGGGTCATACAATTCAGCACTATCAAGATAACCAACATCGATGTTGTATCCACCAGCAACTAATACTAATCCATTTGCTAATGTAGATGTTGTGTGGCCTTCTCGTGCGACATTCATACTTCCTGTCATTGTCCAAGTACCTGTTGTTGGATTATATAATTCAGCACTACCGTCCCATCCACCAGCAACTAATACATATCCATTTTCTAATGTGGATGCTGTATGATAATATCGTGCGGTATTCATATTCCCTGTATTTGCCCAAGTACCTGTTGATGGATTGTACAATTCAGCACTATTCAAAGCAGCACTACCGTCCCATCCACCAGTAACTAATACATATTCATTTGCTAATATGGATGCTGTGTGAGCTGCTCGTGCGACATTCACATTTCCTGTAGTTGCCCAAGTACCTGTTGCTGGACTATATAATTCAGCACTATTCAAAGCAACATCATTCTTCACTCCACCAGTAACTAATACATATTCGTTTGTTAATGTGGATGCTGTGTGAGCTGCTCGTGCGGTGTTCATGTTTTCTGTTATTGTCCATTCTCCCAGGTAAGGCAGAAAAATGAAAAAAAAATGTTGTCCTTAAAATAACGTCGAGCCTCTCAGGCCCATAATTTCTCTTATATTAATTTCAAAATAAATGATTGTCTCATTTGGACTACCTGTTGTTGATGTTTTTTCACTGCTTGTCTTTGTTCTTAAGAGAACAATAATTGGAGCCGTTATCATTGAAACAATAAAAAGAATAACAATAAATATGCTCCATGCTAATTTTCTTTTTCGAAAATGCTCGCTTGCATTCGAAGTAACTGTTGCAGATTAAAATAATCAACAAAGACAAATATTATATTTTATAAGTTTTCTTTTTCTCAATAAATTACATCATTTTCAACTCCTATTCTGTTGCTGCTGTTCATTGTTGATATCTTGTTGAAAGTTTAATACTTTTACAATCTAAAAATAACAAAAAACGTTTTTTTCATTTATAGATTTTCAGTAATTAGATATCGTTTTTCTCACTTAGAAGTTTTTCATTCCAATTTCAACTAGAAAATTGTTAAAATAACTGAAAAATTATTTATCATTCTCTCTCTCTCTCTCTCTCTCTCTCTTTCTCTTTCTTAAATAATCACTTCCTTTTTCAATGTTAGTTTTCAAAAACGAACTCTTATCAGATCGAGTTGTTATTTTCTATAAATATGAAACTGTCTGAGACAATATTTAGTGTAATTACTAGTTAATAAAACATAAAAAATCAGCGCTGTTCGAAGGATATGCATCATTTCCTCACAGAGAAAAAACCTGTCGTGAAAATATTCTACTATACACAAAAACTCTTCTACAATTTATGATATTTACTGATTTAATTGGAGATCGATATAGAACATTCAAGAAAACAAAAAGGATTAGTACAATAGAGAAAGTGAACATAAAAGAAACAGTAATTATATCAATCGTAAAGCCTTCTTTTGTCTTATCCTAATGTTAATTCATCGTCATTCTCATACATCATCTAAATATTTTATCGACAATAATTTGATAGACTTTCAAATGAATGAAAAATAATAACATATATTTTTTTTCTCTCAGGAAACTTTGCACTTCCTTCAAAAAATGTTAATTTTCAATGTTTTTCTTTCTATATAAATTTACTCTTGTTTGAACTAGTTTAGTTTCACATACTACCTTGTAGATTGCGGCATTTACAAATATTTTACATAACAACGATTATATACAATGAGTATCAGAATCATTCACTCAGTACTATTTTTATTTTAAATCAAACAAATACATAAAAATAAAGTGAAAAATATAATTTGAAAATCCTTTTTTCGGTACTTAATGATAAAAAAAATTTTTCTATATTTTACTGAAAACTGAACATTAGTAAAACAAGAAGTTT